TTATCCGCTGTTGATAAACCTGACCAGCGATCAGGTTTATCAACAGCTTACTTCTTTCTGTTAATAAAACTGTCCCGAAAGCCATTATACTTGTATGTTCCTGCAAAATAAAATGTCAGAAATCTCTGTGCCTATATACTAAACACCTTCTTAGATGAAGCTCTCAGTTGTTTAACCAGAACAAATAGGTGACAGGTGGTGTTTGATGGTGTGAAGAAAGAAATGAAATGAGCACGAGTGAAAGTAGCTTATGCAGCGAGTACCCTCACAGCAAACATTTTATAATTTTCTCTGATAATACGCTCTATAGGTAGATATATAAACACTTGACAAAGTCCTCAAAACCACTTTTGTGGTAGTTCCTGCTACGGTCTCTGGGAGATTTAACCATGAAGCTGCACACATGCATGCACACAGATTTGCATGATAATATGATACAATCTGCAGTTCTGCAATCACTCAGCTGTAACTTGAATAAGACATGAATGAATGAATGAATGAATAACTTGAATAAGACTGTGCTTTTTGAGGCTAGGCAGTCACTCAGCACACATGTTGTTATCAGAGAACAGGGGTTACAAGATATGTAACCTAATGTTTGTGTCATCATTGAAGTATGTCTTCATACTCTTTGAAGACTTTTATCATAGTAATTATCAGGATAATATCATATACGAAGGCATTATTGGAGAGATTAGAGGTTTATTAAATTTTGTACTGGCCTGTTTGGGCCGCTGTTTAGCCAAACAGACACGGGGCTAAGTAATGAGGCTGTGTGGGGAGGTATGTGGCTGCAGAGACTGTTTCCGTGTGCAGAGGGTTCAAAGGGCTCAGCCCTGGCAAAAAGGGCCCTGCGGCAACAAGCTACTGCTGCCATAATTGGGGAAAAGCCATGTAAAACTGTCCAAGGGAGGCCAAGGACAGCTTAATTATGTTGTGAAATTTAATTAGCCAACTGGTGTGTGTGTATTTATACGTGTATGTGCGCGTGCTTCTGCTTTTAACTGAGTGACCTTGATGCAATAGAGCTTTTTGCTTGGGTTTTATTGTCTATTTTGAGAAAACATGGCAGATTTATGGTTTATTCCCCACGGTTAAAATGGGTGGATGGGAAATGCTCGTGCGGTCAGAATGCATTATTCTAAAAGCGATCAATGCAGGCTTACAATTTAAATCATTCAGCAGAGGCAGGTAGCACAGACGTGCATTTGTGTTCCTCGCGTGTCCACTTTTCCTGAACGTAGCATGTTTTCCAGTTATCTCTGCTTCTCCTGCAGCAAATGAGCCGATAATAGATGTCACACAGGCAGATGGTTTTCAGGGTGTCACAGGTGATTTTCATGCTGCTGTTTTTGCAACACATCCAGTTTGTTTAGCTCACTAGAGGGATAAATGCTTAACCTCAGCATTGTTGTGCCTGCTCTTTCCACGTGTGCAGCACTAATCTCTTGTATTAAAAGTAAACATCTACCTTTCATTTTTATTAAGCTATCTTCTAATTAGTCACCCGGGAAATACGACAGGTAAACAACAATTACAGAGAAGGTGCTATGTTAGAATATTCCAGGGAATTATCACTCGATTAAACACGTTGTCCAGCATGAGATATGCTGTCAAATTTAAAAAAAAAAAAAACTTTAATGAGAATTCACTGTTTTTATTGGCTGTGAGGTCATCGTTGTTCATTCACTCCCTTTTTTATTCTTGGTTAGATCATTTTGAGTAGGTGTGGCAGGTTGGAAATGGTCTTACGTAGCTGTTTTCCTCATGCATTTAGTTATTATATTGATCTACTTCATGCTGCAGCATTGCCATTCTGAAGTTATGTAATAGAGGCAAACAGCAGATTTATGATTGTTTTTCTGGTGTGTCATAATGTCATGAAGGGGAAGAAAGTTGGTAAACAGCACCAACTTTTTTGGATACTGACTACCAATCTGATACCAGTGTTAAATTAATACGCTGTAATGGTCACTCTGAAAGAGAGACTATGAGTGCATTGTTTTACATGTAAGACCTCAGGCCTAGAGATTGGCTGGCAACCCCTTAGAAACCACTGGTTGCTAGGGTAAAACCTGTATTCCCTGACTAGTTGGCGCATTGTTAGCAAAGGCAGTAAAAAACTTGTGATTGCTTTGGTTCCTAGCAGATTGCAAGTGGTCTCCCTCAGTTCGCATGAACAATGCAGACTTGTCTGCAAACATGATGAAGTGCCAAGTGCAAAAGAAACTGGAGAAAAACTGTTTACCTTCAAAATAAAAGCTGCACTAGGTGATTATTATTATTATTATTATTTTTTTTAAACTTAGCCTCAGCCTGTACCCTCCAGTAAACAAAACCTAACTGATTGGGGGGATATTTTTTCCTAGCGACCAATGGTTACCAGGCGGTAGCTGGCCAGTCTCTAGGCTTGTGTAACATGAGGCCTGATTTAAACAGTATGCTCTCCTAAAATAAAACATAAAACTGTGAGGCGATCACTGCGCATCTGGACAAGACTTGAAAAATCAATCTTTAAGTTGTGTTCAAGTTGTCCTGAATGTAAAGAAATGACTTCCCGTGGGTATTGGACATTGTAATGGTTAACACACTGAAAGGAGAGAGATTCCTGGTTTGATCCTGGGAGAAGACACAGACCTCTTCAGGGTTACATCAGGAAGGGGATCTAGCATTAAAAAAATCAGCCAAATCAAACACCTGCTACCTGCTGTGGCGACCCAGTGTGAATAACAGAGCAGCCAAAGTAGCAACAATCTGATTGGTACTAGAGATGGACCGATCCGATATTGCGTATCGGTATCGGTCCAATACTGACCCAAATTACTGGATCGGATATCGGAGAGAAATAAAAAATGTAATCCAATCCATTAAATATCAAAAAAAGCACCTCACAAAACTTGGACATGGCATAACTCAGCTCATAACCGTAGCACGTCGCAGCAGTATGCCTCACGCGATAGAGCGGCTGTGGCGTGTGAGACCTGTCAGCGGTCTGGTTGAGCATTTGGAGCCTAGCTACAAAACCGGCATTTCATCTCTGAGGAAGTGATCGGCTTTTCTGTCGCAAGTCCGTCTCTCTTGTTTGTTTATCACCCACTTCACACCAGAAAGAGGAAACCAGCAGCTGAACAACAGCAGCACGTTTAAGCTTGATAAGCTGTTGTTAGAATTTATTTAATATTACTTTCTAC